TTGCGCCTGCCACGAAAAAGTGATGCCAGGTCATACGAAGTGCTGCACCTGTCAAATCATCTTCCCAAAACTGAAGATCTGATGCTCCAAAATGCATCCTAACAGCTCTGATGAACATGTCTCTTGTACTGCGCGTGTCACGGAAAATGCATCTTTGCAGATCCTCTTCAAATGTCCCACGCCTGCCATCCTTTTTGGAAATGCTACAAAACCCTCACGTTTTGTTCACTTTTGACAAGGTGCACAATCCCTTGCGCCTGCCACGCAAAACGACATCTGAACGCCAAAAAGTGGTCCGAACATGTGGTGCTTTTAACATTTTGACTTCGAAATGTGCTTCGCGCCACAACGGCTTTCACTTTTTCGACATCCAAACTTCTAAAAAAAAAGTGATCCGGAGCTGAGGTGTTTTGTACATTTTGACTTGGAAATGTTCTTCGCGCCACAACGGCGTGCAACTTTTCATCTCTCATCTGACCACATGGCTCCGCACTCACCGCGGCTTAGGGAGCCTACTTTTCGACCCTCCGGAGGGTTTCGCGACTTGCCTACCTTTTCGCGCACCTGGAACTTCTTTCTTCTCACTCTTTCTCTTTTTGATCTTCTTTCTTCTTCTCTTATCTTCTTTGACTCTTCCCATCTCTGCTTTTCATCTGTCCATATTGTCGGAAGTTTGACTTCTAAACTTCCTTCAAATAGTGCTATCTACAGGACCTCCATGCCTTCGTGTGTTTGTGTGTGTGTATGAGCGTGCTTCATAGGAACCCAGTGATTCGCACTCGCAAGCCCTACGCCAGATATTTCGATCTTTCTGTCTGCAAAGGTGAAAGGTGGGTCGTGCGGTGTGACCCCCGGAAGGCTTGCAGGCTGTCGAGACAATTACATGAAAGGCAGGGCTGAGCGGGGCTCAGCAGAGATAGACTACTTTGCAACTCTCTTGCGCACTCGCAAGAAACTCAGAGCCCTTGCTACTATTTCTCCCTAGAGTTCATGCGGCAAGGTGCCCGGAAAGTGTCCAAGAGCAGCAAGACCGGTGAACTCGATGTCCAACTGCCACAAGCCAAGTCTGCACAAGTTTTGCTCCCTGAACACTAGCAATCACTAAACAGCAACCTAGACAAAATATGACAAAATATGACAGATCTTTTCGGATTCGAAGCCATGACGCCATCATGCCGTGCCATGGACTTCAGATACCTCTGGCACGAAAGGGAAAAAGATCTGCGCAGCCCCTGTGATCGGGAACTGCCTCAGGCAAAAACGGCATACTGTGAAAAGTACAGTTAGTACAGTCAAAAAAGGACTCGGTCGGAGTGTGCACAAAATCGCCTCCAAAGGACGGCCGATTCACTCCAATTATCCAATGCTAAACTTGAAGGCGAAGGCTCCGGGGCTCCGGCTGCATGGTCTGCAAAGATATGCAAATCTTGCCATTGCAGTTGAGATGCCTTGCAGCATTGCAGACGTGCCAGACGCAGCATGCTGCCACTTTGCAGGATTTTACAGGTGCAGCGTGTAGCAACCGCCATTTTTGTCCTTTTTTACATTTGCCCAGTCTGCGCCAACCTCATTCCAAAGCCCACTCCATTCCCGGTGTCAATGCTCACGTCAACCTTAACTGTGAGCTTGCAAGTGTGTCACTAAATTGCACTTTGCAACATTGTGGGCTGAAGCTTTCTGCTCTCTAGCTGTTGAGAAGGAAGCATCGCTCAAGTACTGCATGTCAAGGACCTAGGAGAGATTGTAAACAGCGTTGGCAAGTCGTGAAAGGCAGAGATAAAAAGCTGAGCCAAATGCGATGTCCACTGTGTCCTTCGCATGCATGACTTGAACTGGACCCAGTTCAGGACTTTTGCTTCCTGACAAACAAAGATTCTTAAAGATGTTGTAAAACGCAAATTGCATTGCCACACTCTGCCACACTCTGCCACCAGGAAGCCCGACCTAATGTGAAGCGGGAGAATCTGATGTTCCTGGAGTTCAAACATGTTCAAACCCTCTTGTTGCAATGTGATGGCAACGCGTTGATTCTTGAAGCATGCGCAGCGTGCGCCGCAATTGTTCCCCTGCCTAAAGAAGGAAGGCAAAGAGCTTTGCAACCTGCAAGGCACTGCAAGGTCCGGGCTTCATTGAAATGGCAGAGTTTTCGTTTGAACTTTCCTGACCTGGGAGTCAGATCCTGATTGACAAAGTCAGTGAGGGCCCTGTCCACAAGAGTTGTGCGACAAAACGGCTTCCAACGTTTGCGAGACAGTAAATGATGTTGGATGTTCAAACCATTTACAAGTAAGATGTTGTGACACATCCGCTCACACAGTACCTAGCAGCGTGGCATTTCACCATGACTTCTGGCAGTCCTGTTGAGGTTGGGCCACAGCCAACTCAACAGCACGTTCAGCCACGACAGGCTGTCCAAGTCAGCGAAGGATTCGGCGCCTCTGCAAGGGATCAGTGCACGCTGCAAATGTTTTTCAAGTTTTGGTACTGCAATATGATAAAACAAAATAAAGCAAATCATAAATAAAACACACACAAATCACAAATCTGTACAATCCAAGTGTGAGTTGGCTGTAGAAAATAAGACTCTGACGGCTTGGCAACCTGGCTATAGACGGCTTCATTGCACGCCGGGTCCTTGCAGAGAAAATTCACGGTTCAGCATATTGACAAATTCTCGAAATCGACATCTCTGGGAGATTCCTGCTCTGTTTTGTTCTTGCTCTGCTTTGCTCTTGGTTGTTCTTCTCTGAATCCTGATTGAGGTAATCACGGATTCTTATATGTATTGCCAAGCTTGGGACGGTGAGATAGTTTCCTCTTCCATCTGGACCTGTTGGAAAACCCAAGACGTAAGATATCGTAAGATTATATAATCATCATCGGATCGGTAAGCGCAAGGGTTAGCACAGTACCATCATCTCCCCATCACCAAGGGACTCCATGATCCTTCGTCTTGCGAAAAGCCCTCTGATTGCGCTGCACCTCCTATCGAAGGTCGCAAAAACAATCCCCCAGTCCCCCAGTGAGCCTTTCCTCCGGCCCCAGTCCCGGCGGCAAGTCACGACACACAATCTTGAAAACGGATGACAGCATGACTTGACACAATACGCTGACAGTGGACCTGATGTGTACCGATAGAATCCAATAGACATATTTCTTCTTGCTCAACTGCCTACCTGAGTGACTTAGTGGTTTACCATGTTTTACCGTATCCTGTTTTTTTTCTCTCTCCTCCTGCATCGCAAGACTCCGGGGCAGCCGGAGAGCACCATCCTGTTCAGCAAATGACCTCGGCCCGCAAAATTCGGTGTCTGTCTCTTCTTGAGGATTCTGTAAACAATATGCCACAGTTCGCTCTCATTTGTTGAGGTCAAAGCATTTTGGACTCAAGGTCTGGAGTGGATTCCATTGCACAATATCCCAACACACTGAATCTAGAAGAGTTTAGAAGATCTATGCTGCCTTTCAGTGCCTTCATGTGTTGGGACCACTGCGATGAATGTCCAAGGTGTGAAGACAGGTCAACTACTCAGTTGCTCTTAGGCAGAGCACATGCACAAATGCATGTCTAATGAAAAGTGGAGTTTGGCCTCTTAGAGGCAAAAGCAAAAGCAACAGAGAGAGAAAGGAGAGAGAGAGAGAGAGAGAAAAAAAAAAAGAGATGCCGGCTGCCAAAGAGACAGAAATCTGCAAGCAGCAGGCTCCGAGGCTCTGCCATGCTCTGCGTACTTTTCTATGCAACGAAGTCTTTGGGACTAGAGCAAAACACATAATATGGAGTTCTCATTTATGAGATATCCATGCAAAAACATACGACTGAGCCTTGGTCAAACAGCAGGTACTACATAAGAGATTTGGTCAATGCCATTTGATGGTTTTTGACAGTGTTAGTCGGTTTTGGTCTTTTTGTGAATTCTCCAGTTATTTCTGTACGGTTGCCAGAGCGATGCTGTTGACCTTAGGCACAGGTTGGCATCTTTGGCCACCGATTCAAATCGAGAAGCCGGCTGGACTTAAGCCATCAATGCAGTCTGCTTGCACCGAAGACTACCAGCCCCTTCCATACCTTCAGAGTCAAAATGACAAGTTTTGTGCAGCTTACAGCTTGCGGGACTCTGATGTGAACTAGTCTTGTAGCTTCTGGGCAGCTGAGCTTCAACAAGTGATCACCATGATTACAACATCTTACAGCTTTTGGCATTGACGCATTGGCTGCACTGGTTGCACTAGCTGCACTGGCTGCACCGGCCTAAATCCCTGAGCTCCTGGCCTGTGATAGGCATCTTGTCCGCGGCTGCGCCTTTGATCGAACAAGAGAGACTGCTTCAGTTCTCAACACCAGCTAACGAGATTTCAGCAGACACCCGAACCAAGCACAAGTTGCTGGAGTCCCGCTACATCTCACATCGTCACCCGTCACGCCTTGAAGGCATGCTTTGGCCATATGACCGCCTGCAACAGGTACAGCCTGAGTGAAAAAGGCACAGAATATGCCGGCCGCGAAGCCTTCTCCACCAATCAGGCTATTGGTCTGCATACAACTTGTACCCTCAAACAAAAAACACTTTTTAAGGCCAGCTCTCAACGCATGACTTTGCCACAATACCTAATCCAGGAAAGTGAGAAGGATGCAGCCAAAATGATGTGATGCACATTTGACATGTACAACTGCCGATCCAGTTCGACTACTCAGCTAAATTGGGAAATGGCATGTAAAGCGATAAGTGATAGCTTTCTACACAAAATTCTTGGCACTGCTCAGGATCTGAGCTCACAAGTCCTTATGTTCCGATCTAGTAGCCAGCCCAAAGATCACACTGAATGACGGCCTTTTCTTAGGGGACCCTGATGGTTGCAATTTGTTTCGCTAAAACGTACATCTTCATGCAAAGCACAGGCGTGTTCAATGGCTTTGAGCATGCTGGACATCGCAGACCTGGTACTCTACAACAAAATTATGCCAAAAAAAACATACAAGCCCGGACAACTGCAATCAACCACTCACCGCGGGCTCAACAGCAAACCAGACACTGTATCCATGTCAATGCTTTTGCCAAAACAGCTGCATCTACACACAGGCAGGATACTGATGGCCATCTCTTTCATGATTGGGATCATCTACATATTGGCATTGTTTGTGGGATAAATAGAGAAGAGAAATCTTTGTCTTCAGCCAAATTTCAAACTGACAGGCATCTGTGATGGGGGTGCAGTATCATGAGAAGAAAATAACCATGTTACAAATGTTCAGGCATGTGACAAAAACAACTCCCTAGCAGGCCTCACCACCACACTCAGTGCAACGAATCACCTAGCAAACACTGGGAAGAAGCTAGCAACAAGGACTCGATGATGCCGCAATTCTTTTGAATATCTAATATCTACATAATTTTCTTTTCAACCAGCTGTTCTATCAATACTACAAAGACTACAAGGAACTCTTCCAAAGGCAGTGACACAGTTTCAATAAATGTGTTCCCTTCATCCAATCCTAAATAGTTCCTAGACCTCGAGCACTTCTGAGGTCTCGGCCACGGCAAGCTCAGCCTTGATAATTTGCTTTAGGTGAGTTCAAAAATGTTAAAAGTTGATAAACTCTATGATGAAATCCATAAATCATGGAAATATGACGACCTTCTCTGGAGGCATAAGGAGATTTACGCCGACATACAGTCCTTCGGGTACAGTAGTCAAGATTGTACCATTCAGTCAGAAATGTGTGCAGAGGTTCTATAGTCTATAGTTCTAACAAGATGGTGGAGAGACCAAAAGCTCCTTCATTTGCCTGTTCTTTCATGACATTTTAAACATGTCAGCATTGCAGCGTGGTCTGAGGCTAAATCACACGTGTCACACACGTCCATTATTTTTTCCTGTTTCCGCGCGCTTGCCGCTTATTTTTTCCTATCGGTTCATGCCATACACGAACATGTGTGATTCTTCACTGCCTTGGTCCTTTTGCCACCAACGCCACCAACAGCTACCGTTTGAAGTACTGCAAACACCTTTTGGTTCACAGCATTGAGACTCCGACTGCCAACCCAGAACCGCATCCAGCACAAGCTGTCCATCCATGCCGGCTCTCCCTTTGATTCAACCTTGTGGAGGATAAGATGCACAGCTGATGTGTCAGCGACAAGTGCTGAGACTCGCTGCCTGAAGCACTGGCTGCAGATCATTGAGCCCACACCTGGCTTCGTGAACAGCAATGATCATGAAAAAACAGACAAATTGTGGAGCAACCAGCAAGGAACGGATGCTATGCTGCTATGTATTGGAGCAATAGAAGGCAAAGCAAATGTGGAATGCACAATGACCTCGAAGCCACGGAAAAGCTGATGCCCAGGGCAATTCAAGGCACAATGCCTGAAGTCAAGCACCAAATCAAAAATAGGTTGACTCAAGGGAAGCCTGACACCCTGGCAGGGATGGTTAGACAAAGTCAAACAACACAGAGAAACTGTGAAAAGCCAAGCCATGCACGTCAGATTGACCTTTCCCATTTACAGCGTGCACCTGCAGAACAACAACGCCTCTGTGCCAAGACTTACTAAGTATGTCCACGTCTGTAAATTGCATCTGCTTGGGACTTTAGTAGGCAAACCACGATCACACATAATGAGGTAAATCCAATTAACAAAACCTGCAATCGGGGTTGATTTGTGCTAGCATCGTCCATTTCTGGTAAATTGGGAGTGATTTATCATTGAATTTACCGCATGAACACCCTTATGCAAAATCATGCTTCAGGCTCCCACAGTAAGTGACAAAGTTGCTCTCAAAACACGATCTGCAGCCTGAGGTGTGAAGCAAGTGTGAAGCAAATGTGTCTCAATCGAATTTGATGGTCTTCAGGCCTACGATTTCAACAGCTGCGCAGCCGCCCTTAGAAGCCGAACCCACATGACATCTTGTTGAGTTGGTGCTTCCTGCCAGGGGAGGCAACTGTGGCAATCTGCGGAAACTGCACCAGAACCAGCGCTGCAAACCTCAACGATAATGAACTGCGATTGAAGAGGGGGCAGAGTTGCCAAAAGAACCTGTCATATCTGCAACATTCTGCAGTGCCAACAACGCAAAGCTGACCCTGCAACTCAGTGTGTCGATAAGAAGAACAAGTTGGAACAAAGAGGTGCCACAAATGCTGTTACACTGTCAGGTCCACAGATGATTGCAGATTCTCAAGATTAAAGTGGCTTGCACACTTGGTACGGGCAAAGAACTTCTTGAATTTGGTTGCCAAAAGAAGACGGATTGCCTTGTTGCACAAGATTCGATTCAGCTTTCTTAGTGTCCAGAAAGCGTTTTCACAATAATATATATATATATCACAATAATATATATATATTATTATATATAGTATATAGTGATAAGCAAACCGCAAAAGGCTGATCTAATCTCACCTGAACTTGTTGTACTTTCTCCACTTATGGTGCTACCATCCTTTTCCTCTGAAGGATTCGAGTGTGAGACGTCTTTGTCTCCAAAACCCAGAAGAACATAGTGCAGCATGGCCAGTTACAACACCGGAGGAGATCTATACATCAGATAAAGCAATGTTGCCCAAAAGAATACAAAAAAAGGAAACTGACAAATGAGACAAATAAGACAAATCCATACAATTCCTATCAAACATTTCAAATATCTCAAATGTCTCGGTGAGCTCTATCAGAATCTATGAATGGCCAAGATGATGGGCGCAGCAAATTCGAAGGACGGCACCCAATCGAACGTTTCGCCAAGCTCAGAGCAGTGCCTTGGTCCCCACACCTTCCACGGAGCTCGGATTTTGCAGCTGCAAGATGTCACAAGATGTCACAAGATGTCGCAAAATGTTGCAAGATGTGCTGCTTTTTCGAAAAAACAAAGGAAATCAAAGGAGCAAAACTAACCTATGTTCGCTAATGTTCGCTATTTGAAATGACCTCATGATTCCTGGGCCTCGTATTTTTCTACTGGAGCTTTTGGGTCCTGTGCTGTGAAGAGAAAGAAACTCTGTTAAGGATCAATATAATAGTGATCAACATGATCATCCCAGCTGCATCGTGTTTGGACATACTCTCTCTTTGAAAAAAGTGATCAAAGGCATGGAAAGCTGTCTGAATGGGATGCAGGCCGATGCGGGTTAGCAACAGGTGGTGTAAACAGGTGGCATGCTGTCTCCGTATTTGCACAGCGCCCACCTGGACTTCTGGCAAAGTCCAGCTGATTTCATACTTCCTGGTTCCAGGAGTGGCCTCAGCTCACACAGCGTCATGTCATACTTGTCACAATCTTGTCATAGTAATTCACAGTTTTTCACAGTTTGACTAGTGACATTGGTCATGCCCAATTCCCCCTCACAAGGCATCAAAGGCATTCGACCAAAGCACAGTGACTTGACCATCTTTTTTGAATCAACACTTGGGCCAAAAATGTAGTACAGCACCAGCACAACGGTACAAGCAGCCCCACCCTTGCAAACTGCAGCTGATAGTCTTGTTTTTTTTGTTTAAAGTAGGAAGGTGTATGCTTGTCCTATAGAATAGAGCGTCACTTGAAATTGCAGTGCTGTTTATTCTTGTCTCTCTGAGATCTGAACATCCAAGCATCGTGCAGCAGCAGCCTTCCTGGGCTGTTCAGGAACCTGCACAAAGGATTCAAAAAGGGGGAACTCAGCAGAGTACAGCACGAGTACACCTTGAGTAGAAAAAAGGCAAAAAGAGGGGGGAATTGGCACAAGAAAACAGCCGGGCATTGCCGGAGTACTGAACAAGCGACAGTTCAAGGTCCACGGTTTGACACATCTTGATGTGGTTTGACACCTAGTAACTCAATGTTCACTAAATGGAGTTCGGACATTTTTTAATTCAAGATGCTTTGTTTTGGATGTGTTCTTTCGAATGTAAATGTGTCGGCATCGTAGTTTGAGGGAAGCGAACCAAAGGCTTTGATCTGGAAAGGTGCAAAGTCTGACCTTAATCTTCAGCCCCAAGGCAATGTTTTAGGAAGATCAGACTTTAAGTCTTACAGGTGGAAAGCCGCAAAATGAGAACTACAATGGAGCACTTAATCTATCCTAATCTATCTTAAACATTCATAGATTCATAATCTATCTCAATCTCAAGTTCCTTATCAAGTTCCTTGAACCGTATCAATCTGCCTCAGGTGTGAAGTAACTCATATAATCCGTACCTGTCCCGCCTGCGCGCAGGCTTCTTGGCTTCGCCTACGCAACTCTTCTTTTGCAGCGTGCACCTGGCACAAACACGCCGTAGCGTAGTATGCCACAAGACATCCAAAAAACTATGAGAAAAAATGATGAAGTATAACAATTACACCGGCAAGAGACACCAAACAATGTGGGGAAGAGAAAGAAAGTATATATAATAATGTGTAATGTATCTAAGGTAGATGATGAATGGAAACACACGAAAGCGACACATGTTTTTCCGCTACCAAACAGTGATTTTTTTTACATTAGAAAAGTCACGAGGAAGCTCTGGCGGCTGCCGTGCTGCTACGAGATCCAGAGCAGAGCAAAGGCATACAATTGGACAGAAAGCGCGCAGCCGCAGCTCTCGTCATGTGCCGGCCAGCTATCAGGAAGGCATCAACAGAGGTATCTGCGAAAAGAGGACCAGCAACCTTGTCTGCAGGCAAAGCTGTTGAAGTTCTTTCCACGAGCGGAGCCTTCGCACTGCAGACGAAGACATTGTCTGACATGACCCCGCAGAGAGATGTCACAGAGTCTCGACCGCGCGCAGCCGCAGCGGGCACGGCATGAAGTTTGGATGCCAGCCAGTGAGGCACTGCAACAGGTGGCAACAAGAATAAAATTACACTTTCATGGCACCTGTTGCAGTGACTGCCTAACATACGACAGAGATGCAAACAAGGAGCTACGGAAACAGCACTAGATTCTAGACCAAATTGGACATTCTCGGAACTTAAGCAGCAGGAAATTGTAAGAAAAAACAGGTCTACTCATCAGGACCTAAGACAAGAATGTTACGCCAGAACATCTAAGAATCTAAGATTATGTCACAAGACTGTCAAAGAAGAACCTTCTGAAACATCTGGCAAGATCTTCATACAAGAGCTTCACGAGCATATACAAACACCTGTAGAGAGCAAACATCTTCAGGATCTTCATGCAAGAGCTGCAAGAGCCTATGACAGCATGTCATCTGGACCTCCACAAGATCTTCGCAAAAGGAGCTGTACAGGCTCATGCAAGGACCTCCTCTCGGCATTTCAGAAGATCTTATAAGATCTTCATGTAAGGACGTCGAAGTTCGCACCGCGCCACAACGAGAGCAATCTGACACGCACAAAGTGGCGAGACGGTTGCGGTTTTCAGCCACTTTTTTCTCGAAGTCTATAAAGTACGGCGCCTGCCACGAAAAATGAGCGCGAGGCAAACCGGGACAACCATTTTGTGCCAGCCTGCGCACATGGACATCTCACGAGGTAAATTTTGTGCAAGAATTTACAGTGAAAAAGCTGGGGACCACAGAGCGTACCACAGTGAAAAAAACCGCCTTTAACACTTACTAAGAACCCCTCAGTGTGGACACACTGTTTGGGGAACAATTGATCTGCAATTCGTTGCACATGTTGATGCACCTCGTGAAGTGCTTCCGCGCCTTTGATCTTTGTGTTTTCATCCAACCACTGCAGCCTTGCAAACATACGGCAGAAAAGTCAGAGATGGGCTGGAAGAAATTATAAAGGAATAAAAAAAACATGTTAGTCTCATGTTAGTCTCAAAAGAAGAACATCTTAGCTTTGCGCTTGTCGGGATGCAGCAGCAGCACCAGCTTCTTCCATGCTTGCAGAATAGCCTGACTGTCAATTTCATCACACGAACAGTTGGCAGACCTGAGAGATCGCTGTCTGATGCTTCCCTATGAAAGGGATTCCTGCCTCTTCCTTTGCATCTCCAGGGATCTGTAGCCTCTCCTAAAACACATGAGCACTCTAATTATGGAGTCACATGAGCACTCTATGCAGACCCTATGCAGACCTTGTGTAATCCTTCAAAATCTTCAAACATGTTCAAACCCACCTCAGCTGAGCCTGCACCCAGGATGCGCTGAATCCTGACACATCATGAAGAAAGACATCGAAAGACCTTTTCATCGAGGACCTGGATGTCAAACAAAAGGTATGAAGGGCAGGGAAATGTAAACACAGGGCCACAGGAAGCCACGGCATCCCAGAAACAAGGACCGAAAGCGCTGGCATGACATTGGATTGAGCATTGAAAGCTGCTCCGCAAACAAAATCTGTGCTCTTGTTGACGCTTGCTATCAACCTAACTGAGATCCTGGTAACATCTGATAACATTATTTGAAAAGTCACGTTTGTACTCAAACTGGTAGAAAGTAAAAGACAGTGCGCCAAGCCAAATAGTGATCTCTGAGCGTGTGTGGCAGAATTGAATATTTTCAATCTCTATTTTGTATATACCCAAAACTGGGCACACTTCATCTCCATTTTGTCGTCCACTTCTATACACTAAGCAAAGTACCCTGCTCCAATGCCTTACAAAGAGGCATCATGATGTTTGAGGGCACGACTCGACAGCCACATCCTTTCTGGACGAAGTTGTCTTGGCCTTGGCATCGAAGGAGGGCAAAGGATACAAAATATCTGTCGACACAAGGAAGTTCAAACGCTATAATGATATAATATATATATATATGTACGTATATACATATATAAATATATACGTGTATGCCTGGTTCGCCGTCGCTCTTATCGACAATGTTGCGGTGGGTTTGGGGTGGGGGGGTCGGGGTTGGGGGGGTGGGGTTTTGGGTGGGGTTGGGGGTCGCAGTAACGTTCCAAGAGGCTGCGTTCTGGGCCATTGCGTCGTTAGGGTGGGCTGGCTATCGATTGGTGCTGTGGTTACTAGCCGTTTTCAGGGTGGTGTTGCTACGTTGATGCTAGATCGTTGCAGTTGCTACATTGATGCCAGATGGTTGCTACGTTGTCAGGGAGGGTTTGCTACATTGATGTTACGTCTTTGCTACGTTTTCACAGACAACCAGGACTGCAAACAGCCCTCCAAGCACTGCAGGCGCACAGAAAACCATGTTCCAAAGGAATCGTGCGAACTAGCCCTGCAGATTGCTATGAAGCAATCAAGCTGCCGTGGCTGAACTGATGAATAAATTGCATTGGAGGCGACGGCGAACCAGGGGGCCTGCCAGATAGATAGATAGATAGATAGATTAAATAGATTAGATAGATTAGATAGATTAGATTAGATAGATACATATATATATATTATTATTACTATTAATATTATTATTGTTACTATTATTATTATTATTAATTATTATTAGTACTATTATTATTATTTATTATTATGTATTATTATTATATATATATATATATTATATAATAAATAATATGTATATATATATATGTGTGTGTTCTACTGTGTTCTTGTCTTAAGTTGCAACTTTTGTACATGACCCATTGATTTCATTGATTTCCTTGATGTCCCTTGTTTATTTCGACCCAAAAAGGCCTCCTGCGCCTGCACCATAGGTGGCTGTGGCATTCGCCCCTCATTCGACACATGCCACAGTCAAGCATAATCCCGACACTTGCAAGCCTCAAAATCCTCAAATCGCAAAATCTGCACACTACCAGATTGAATACCCGCCTTGGGTGGAGGTGACTTAGGAGGAGCAGGTTTTGCCTGCATGACTCGCATGAATCGACAGCCAGTGGATGATTCAGTACCCATACCACCTGCTTCGAATGTCACTATCAATTCCAGGACAATCAGAACATCCACTGTAGTAGTAAAATAAATTCAGGAGTATCAGAACAATATCAGAACAAGCATGAAGACATCGCATCATGAATCAAAACCAGCAGCTTGGTGGCCCCATGGACAGATACACTGTATTGTCAAGCGATGCCACGTGATGCTTAGGCTGCCTACGATCATACATACAAACAGATGCATACAAACACTGCAAATACGTTACTTCCCTCAGGACAGATAGAGAGGTGCCATGAAACCATCAAAACAGTCGTTCGAAATCTGGAAAGCATCTCAGTCAATCCGAGTTTGTGGCTCCGTTCATACGAGCATGTTTTTGCAAGTCTATGTGCAAACCCAGAATGCTGCATGAAACACAGTTATAGAAATCCATCTCAATTCTGCTCCACGTACTTGCGAATATTGCCAAACGATGTTGGGTTCTTCAAGTGTGCCTTCAATCTTGCCCCGCTTGGAGGAAGCAATGCCTGGAAGCGAACTAGTAACTGACTATATAGTGACTGAGGGGCATTGCAACCATGGACTCGTGGGACTCTCTCAAGGCTGGCGCTACTGTACTATCAACTTGACATGCCGTCAGCTCGTTCACAGCATCATGTTTATCAGCTGTTATCTGAAGCAGAAATGCACATCAGTTGCCGAAGACTCTGGTCAGCCAACCGAGGTACTATCTGCATGAGCAGCATCCGTTTGCTTGATCGAGATTTGACAATCCTGCTGCAGCAAGCCAGCGCATTTGGTGGGTACATTCACGACATTCGTTTGTACATCAGTACGTGCCTGTAAATCCATGTGCCCCTCCATCGTTTGATCTGTTCATTTACATATCCCCGTGTTTGCCTGGGAATTTTCCTCTCTACAGTATCTTTCCATCAGTGTAATTGCATTGGCAAATCTATGCAACCATGTGCAGGATCCACATTTAGTAATGTAATATGTTATGTGCAGATGTCACCTTGTTTGCAGACCCCTTGTCCTTTTTTACATTTCCAACAGAGTCATATGCAGAACAGCAAGTTGATTTGGGCAAAAGGAAGTTCAGAAGCTCTCCAGGAATGCAATACATGAGAAGTCCAGCAGTCCAGCAATGCAGTACAATGCAGTATGAATTGTTTCAAGCGTTCACCTGTTTACCATATTTTTACTCACATGCACAAGGCCTTGGAACATCCATCGCTCTGAGAAGCGGTGACCGAGGGCAATGTCGTGGTGAAGGTCGGGGAGCCTGGTCCAAACCCCAAGTATGGTGTGTCCAATTCATTAAATTCATCATTTCACATACCAACATAACTCTGTCACAACAAAAAAAAAGTTGTCAAAACAATAGGTGGTAACGTAGTTGAAACGTTCCAAAGTGTTTTTTGTTCACTTTGACGGGATGAGACTGTCATCAAAATGTTGTCGATCTTCTTAGGATTTTTGTGCCATATCACTGTGCGGACGACAACAACCATTGTGCCATATCTCAAGAAATGTTCCTTGGATTCGTCCGCGACCACACCATCTTCCATGTCTTCGTCTGTCCTCGGAAGCAGTCGAACAATGGACATAGTTTCCACATACAAGACAGCCTCAGACAGCCGGCCTCTTGTGGCTAGGTTCTTGATCCTGCAAGATCTGGAAGTGGTCAAGCTACAAAATCGGTGTGTACTTTTTGTTGACTGCGGTATCAAATTGGCACTCGCCGCACTGTCCTTGCGATCAAGCCTGGCAGCCACTCCGATTTTCCATTTTTGGCATGTTTTTTCACAAAAAAAAAATGTCATTTTTGGACAGTTACATTCACTTTGGATGATATTCGGCCTGCCATTTTCACCTTCGAGAAACACATGTTCTGCCAGTCCTTTCCATCCAAGGTCTCATTTGGACAGGAATGTGTGGTTGCAATGCACACCATGAAAGATCCGAAACAATCCATTGTTTTCAATCGTTTGCTTGCAAAAGCTGAATTTTGCGACACGCCTTCAACATCCCTCACTTTCGAAGTTGCCTCAAGTTTTGCTTGGGGGCCCAAAGCACAAAAAATTATTCGTTCAAAAAAAACATGTATGATTTGCGCCTTGCATTATTTTTTTTTGCCAAATATTTGTCTTGCATTTTGTTGCAAAACATAGGCAGTGCAAACAATAAAATTTGTCCCATGAAATTGAAATCATATTATTGAAAGATATTTTTTGATGCGTCCTGGCCTGTTTTCGCACAGTTCGTCCACGAGACTGTTTCACCCAGTCATTCAGCACCTTCGAAAAACGTTTGTTTCAAGACGTGTTTTGGTGGCAATGTTTTAAACATTCTGGCCTGAAGCCGTGCCAATTTTGATCTCCATGGCATTGCACACCCGGCACACCCACGATCATAAAATGTTGAGGGCGTGGTTTTTGGAACATTTTTTAATCAAGAGGTCGAACTGCATCAGTTTGCACAGTTGTTCCGTTTACTTCAATGTAAATAGTTTACAAGAAAATCAAATAATTTAAGACATCGGTGGTTGGAGTGTGTGTGTGTGTGTGTCACCCCATACTCGGATGGATGTCACCATGGTCAATTTTGTTTAATTTGCGCTCAATGCGCTGTAAAAACACGGCAGCGGGAATCGTGAACGACCGTTTCAAATGTTTACCGGTCTTCACGGTCATGCAACGAGATGAACATGATTGTTTGGCATGGAAGAAAAAATTGTCCCAATATTTGATTTGCATGTGCACCTACAAATCCCGTACCCCAACAAACCCTTGCAATGTTTTTTTGACAGTTTGAAATTGTGTGTTTGGAATTGGATGGAATTGGATGCCCCGCTTGTCTGGAGATGGAATTGGATGCAGCACTATTGTTTGATGCCCGCGGTTATGAATATGTGCATGAGGAAACTCTAGTGTGTGTCTGAAGATTGGTGGTGGCTGTACTTAGTGGTCGCAAGGCTCGTGGTTTTCAAACCAACTCAATTTTGGTGCATGACCCAAACACATTTTAAATATTGGGCGTCAGCGATACCCATCAGATGCTATTGTTTTCGATTTGTTTCGGGCAAATTGAATTCAAAACAGTGAATGTTATGCCCAGCAAAGCATGCACATGCTATGTATACATTTGTCACGGATTGTACAAACTCCGGATTACACACTGACTACAGCTAGGTTTGCGTTACGCTTCAATTGCCCCAATATCAAAACTGTAAAACTGTTTGAAATACTGGAAGCAAACGCAGTTAGCAGCAGCACTTAAAATGGTGCGATATGCAGTCAATGTCGCGCCCATACAGAACACTTCGACTTCCACATACTATATCGGCGGGTACAACATCAGCAATGTGAAGCCCTAAATCCAGCCGCAAAAAAACAGCCCCATACTGTAGAGTAGAGCAAACACATGAAACCGGAAGTAGAACAATCAACCACACATCAGAAGAAACAAACCAAACACGGGTTATTGGAACGTGGCGCGTTTGAAACCAAAACGCAACGGAAGGATACGAAACATCCAGGTCCATGTTATGAACGCAAATGTGTAAGTACAGCAGCCGTGCACAGCTAGGTTTCCATTATGTTTCAAAAGTCCCGTATCAAAACAGCTACACGACAGTATCGCCCGAAAAAACAGGAGAAAGGAGAGAAAATAAAACAAAACAAAATATGATTGTGGATGATGGTGATGATGGCGAATGGTGACTGATGTAGATAAGATATCATCAAAGGAAGTTGGGAAGCAATACTTTCCGTGGTACGGACAAATAGAATTGTGAGACTTGACCTTGATAAAAGGTGGTGTGAGATTTTACACTACATAACAATACACCAAAAAAAACATTGACCTTGATGAAGGGCGGTGTGAGACTTTACACTACATAACAATACATCACAAAAGAATAATTGACCTTGATGAAGGGCGGTGTGAGACTTTACACTACATAACAAAACATCACAAAAGAATTGACCTTGATGAAGGGCGGTGTGTGACTTTACATCACATAACAATACATCACAAAAGAATTGACCGTGATGAAGGGCGGTGTGACATCACATAACAATACATCACAAGAGAATTGGCCTTGATGAAGTCGGTGTGAGACTTTACATCACATAACGATACATCACAAAAGAATTGACCTTGATGAAGGGCGGTGTGTGACTTTACATCACATAACAATACATCACAACAGAATAATTGACCTTGATGAAGGGCGGTGTCTGACTTTACATCACATAACAATACATCACAAAAGAATTGACCTTGATGAAGGGCGGTGTGAGACTTTACATCACATAACAATACATCACAAAAGAATTGACCTTGATGAAGGGCGGTGTGAGACTTTACACCACATAACAATTACATCACAAAAGAATTGACCTGCATGAATGTTGCATGGGGCTTGTGTTGCGGAGGAAGCCGGAGCACGAACCTTGTGTTTTTCCGTGTAAAGTGGCTGCAGCCAACGGTACCTCCTGTGTGCGGCGGGTGCGGTTTGGATTAGTTTGGATCGTTTCGAGGTCAATCGGTTCCTCGTCTGTGTTCTGCAATGAGTGGTTGTTCCTGTCTGCGTAGTTCTATGCGTTTCTTGAATCTGTGGTTGCAGATCGCATTGGAATGGCTGCGTGATTGTTGTCATCTGGTGGTGCCATGTGCGTAGATGCATGCGGGTTAGCCACGTCATGCTGCAAGCCGCATTGTAATGGCTGCATGAATGTTGCATGCGCTTTGTTTTGGGGAGGAAGCGGAGCCGGAAACCTTGCATTTTTCCTTGTAAAGTGGCTGCAGCCGACGATGAAAGGTACCTCCTGTGTGCGGCGGGTGCGGTTTGGATCGCTTCGAAGTCAATCGGTTCCTCCTCTGTGTTCTGCAACGAGTGGTTGTTCCTGCGTGCGTAGTTCTATGCGTTTCTTGAACCTGTGGTTGCAGATCGGATTGGAATGGCTGCATGATTGTTGTCATCTGGTGATGCCATGTGCGTAGATGCATGTGGGTTAGCCGCGTCATGCTGCAAAACGCATTGTAATGGCTGCATGAATGTTGCATGGGCTCTGCTCTGAGGGAGGAAGCCGGAGCACGAAACCTTGCATTTTTCCGTCTAAAGTGGCTGCAGCCGGCGATGAAAGGTACCTCCTGTGTGCGGCGGGTGCGGTTTGGATCGCTTCGAAGTCAATCGGTTCCTCCTCTGTGTTCTGCAACGAGTGGTTGTTTCTGCGTGCGTAGTTGTATGCGTTTCTTGAATCTGTGTATGCAGATCGCAGGGGAATGGCTGCATGATTGTTGTCATCTGGTGTTGCCATGTGTGTAGAGAGATGGAGGTTTGCTACGGGAGGCTGCGAAACGTATTGTAATAGCTGCATGAATGTTGCATGGGCTTTGTTTTAGGGAGGAAGCCGGAGCACGAAACCTTGTATTTTTCCGTGTAAAATGGCTGCAGCCGGCGATGAAAGGTACCTCCTGTGTGCGGCGGGTGCGGTTTGGATCGTTTCGAGGTCAATCGGTTCCTCCTCCTCTGTGTTCTGCAACGATGCAGATCGCATTGGAATGGCTGCATGATTATTGTCATCTGGTGATGCCATGCGCGTAGATGCATGCGGGTTAGCCACGTCATGCTGCAAGCCGCATTGCGATGGCTGCGTCAAGGTTGCTTGGCGCCGCGGCTGCATGCGCAATACTATAGTTACTATTGTCTCTTACAGCTGGGCATTGTAAATCCTATTGGAGTGGCTGCATCAAGGCTGCGAAAGTGAATTGTCAGCAGATTTTTCCAATTTTGGCGCTAATCATTTTCCTTTTAAAATTCCTTTTAAAAAGTGCTTCAAAATCGTCTTTTTGTCGCTTTGGCGTCGAGATCCGGTTTTGGAGCTGCAATTTCCGACGCCGTTGCGCGTAGTTCTATTGTGCTTTGCAACTCAGTCTGTGCAAATCGAATTGTAATGGCTGCGTCAAGGTTGCTTCGTGCCGCGGCTGCATGCGTAATACTATTGTCTTTTGCAGCTGGATCTCGTAAATAGTATTGGAGTGGCTGCATCAAGGCTGCGGTATTGGTTTGTCAGCAGATTTTTTCAGTTTTGGCGCTAATAATTTTCCTTTTAAAATTCCTTTCAAAAAGTGCTCCAAAATCGTCTTTTTGTTCCTTTGGCGTCGAGATCCGGTTTTGGAGCTGCAATTACTGTTGTGATGGGGTGCAGGGGGCTTCTCTGTGTAAAAACTTTTTTCTGTAAAAGCTTGCTGTGTGTAAAAGATTTTGTGTGTGAAAGCTTGCTGTGTGTAAAAGCTTCTCTGTGTGTAAAAGCGTCTCTGTGTAAAAGTTTCCGTGTGTGTAAACGCTTGCCATGTGTAAATGCACTGTGCGTAAGTGTTCTGTGTGTAAACGCTTGCTGTGTGTGAAAGCTTGCTGTGTGTAAAAGCTTCTCTGTGTATAAGCTTGTTGTGTGTAAAAGCTTCTCTGTGTGTAAAAGCTTCTTTGTTTAAAAAGCTTGCTGTGTGTGTAAACGCTTGCCATGTGTAAAAGCACTGCGTGTAAGCGTTCTGTGTGTAAACG